AACAGAAAGGCGCTATTGAGCAAGATGTCATGATTTAGGACTACTAGTCATTTCGTTACTTGTAAAGTTTGTACTGTTAAAGTACTTGTAGCACGCTGCAGAATCTATTTGTTATATTTCAAGAGAGAAACAAGCCTGGCTGATTGTATTAATAAACAGCCTAATGTAAGACACATTTCAAATATGGGATTTCAAAAAGACAGCTAAAGCACATACCATTTTTGTCCACAGATATATTGTGTCGATTTTAACCTTTGTAGACGATCAAGTGAAAATCCGTCAGAACTCATCGAGATGGAGGCAAGAGCCGGTTTTATGCTGAGCGTTTCAGCTGTACCGACACGAAAATGATCAGGCGGTAATAAGATTTTTTGATTACTATTGCTAATGGGAACTGAAACGAATGTAAACACTGAGAGGTAATACAAAACGCGGCTTGGGTCACTAATTAGTCCTATCTTTTGGCTTAAGGAGGAAGATCATATCCTAACTGATCACGGAAGTTTAATGCAGACAAAGTAGTAACGTAAATGTGACATCATTCTAGAATACAATCTGGTTAAAATGTTTAGCATTCAGATTTGACGGAACGGCTGCTCTTTTGTGCGAAGTCTGTTTTCATTCCCCCCAGCTTGATGCCGAAAGTTATACTCACTTGCGCATTGCTTTATATTTATGTAAGTGTTTCTTCGAATTAATTAGAATTCCTTTACCAATTGTCCATTGTAAAAATTGTATCGTGTTGTTTTACCACACTTTAAGAGGCCGCTATGTCACGAAGATTTTAGTCACGCTTTCAGACATACAACTGAAGCACAAGCTTGACAAGTTCAGGTTTTTTACCTCAAGATTCAAGTTTAAAGAGTACTCAACACCGAAAAATAGCTTTGGCCTCGGAGACCTGAAGGCTGGTGGATATTGATATTTTTAAGACGCTCAGAGAGGCTGTCATAGCGGTAAAATAAATGTCACCAGAAGCTCTGATTCTATTGGAGGAAGATCATATTCTAACTGATCACGGAAGTTTAATGCAGACAAACTAGCTACGTAAATGTAACAAAAACAAGTTTCCATTGTTGCAAAGTGCGATCTAATTCCAGAGCAAATCAGTTGCTATTCAGAGAATAAACAGGTTTAGTTTTAATCGTGTATCAATCTCAGCCCGCGAGGCCTCGTCACTCACTCGTCATTGCTGCCTCACAAAGAGGAAGTTTCCTTAAGCGAACGTTGCAACTGGCTTCTTGAATTTGATGTTGATTTTTGGTTCATTTTTAGATTATTGTGTTTTATATGAACGTGTGCAATAAACCTAACACGACAGAAAAATGACATTAAAAAGAATCGCAGAAGTTGAAAATGATAATTTTTCGTCCACAGTCACGTGCCTGTGGGGTGCCACCTTTAACCTCAATAAAAGCAGATAATGAAAGAAACAACACATGATATGATAGCCATTACACTGTGAAGCTTATGCGGAAGATTTTGTGTACATCTGATACACTTTGTAGTTAGTTAAACTGGATCATGTAATGGACACGGACTTCATGTCAGTTGAACAGGAAATCGTAACTGCCATAGCTGGAGCGTCATGATAAACTGTGTAGAAGCAGAGAAAAGGGAAGAAGTAAGTGACCCAGGAACAAAATGGTAAACATGACTTACTATGGACGTGACCAAGATACTCAGGAACATATTTCGCTTAAATCTTTCTGTTTCCTCACAACCTTATTAATTTACTGATTAAATCAACAAGAGGAAATTTTGGAATCGAAAAATAAATCTCACCTTTTACGGTGATATCTGCATTCGGCTTCCTTATATGTGATATGAATATGTATCTAGCAGCTACCGAAGCGTTAACTCGAGCTTGCCTCGAGATTTGTTGTGTCACATAGAGACGACAGTCGACTGGGTGACTGGTTGTTAAAACAACCAGTCATCCAGTTGACTGTTAGAGAATCCGCGTAACTGACTTTATACTCATTGGAATCCGTCCGTGAGCAATTTGAAGTGTTCGGCTACGAATACAAGAATACAACGCATATTCTAACCGTGGCGCTGATTTAATGTAAAGAGGATATGACAAAGCCACGCGCGTGGTTGTGAATTTCATCTTCGAGTGTAAAGAAATTCGTACCGTAGTGTCCTATACTGATTTCATAATCTTGATTACATATTAAAGTCGCATTTACGGAAGCCGAACGCAGATATCACCTTAAAAAATGGGATTACCTTTCGATTTCAAAATTTCCTTTTCTTGATTTCGACGATGAAGTAAATCAATACCGTCGAGAGGAAACAGAGAGATTTAAGGGAAATGTGTTCCTTAGCGTTTTGGTCACGTCCGTAGTAATGTTTACACTGTTCCTGGGTCACTTCTTCCTTTTTCTCTGCAAATTAATCATGACGCAACAGCTATTGCAGTGGCGAGTTCCTGTTCAACTGACATGAAGTCCGTGTTCATTACGTGCTTCAGTTAAAACCAAGTACAACGTGTATCAGACCTACGCAAAAATCTTCTGCATAAGCTTCGGCGTGTTATCATGTTGGCACCCTACTGACACGCATTGTTGACAAAAACTTATCCATTTCGAATTCAGTAATCCTTACTAATATTTTTCCCTGTAAAATTTATTATGTGCTTCCCTACAAAAATAAATCCAAGAATGAGATAAAATCAGCGTTAAATCTTAGAAGCCAGTTGCGACGGTAGTTTTAGTAAACCTCTCTGCTTAGAAGCTTAGCAGCGTCAATGACGAATGCATGACGAGGCCTCATTAGCTAGAAATCGGCATTGAAACTTGTCCTTTTTTCTCTCTGAATAGCTTCTGATTTGCTCTGGAATTAATCTCAACAATAAAAGCTGAAGTTTTCTCTGCCATGTGTAAATACTTTGTCTGAATTTGACTTTCATGAAGCCCTCCAGTGAGTGAATGATCACGATATGTACAGTAAATTGTAAGCGGTATTCTCGTCTAATAAAGATAGAAGCAGAACTTCTG